TGTGCACTTAGAAAGGGTGTGTATTACTACTAGTATCCCGAGTCTTTCTGACAACAATTGTGTTAATTTATTATAGGCCCGGGCTGTAAAATCCTATGCACGTGTTGAGGTTGAGAGCCTATTTTCATAGAGAATATCTTCAAACTTCAATTATCTAGAAACAAAATCATTTTTAATTCTGAATTTATGCCTCTTTCTTACTTCAATACTACAATTTTCTCTTTTTTATTTAAAATAAACATAAAAAATTTTTTAGCTAATTTAAATCTAAAAATCGTGAAAAAAACCTTTTACCTCTTAATATTCTTAATGCACTTATTTTATATCATATTCTTTTTCTGTCCTGATATTGCATCCATGGTATTCAGGACATTTTCCAGAAAATCAAGATTCCATTTCATTGCATCAACAATGAAAAAAGTTCTATTTTTGTATTTAATGTTCAAATTTAATGTGGAATATAAAATTAATATTCGCAAAAAAATTGATGATAAAATTCAAGGAATTTATTATTTTACGCCCAGTAATGATGCCCATGATTCATTATTTAATAACCACGATAAAGACCAATTTATAGAAAAAGTGATGATTGAAAACATAGAATCTAAATCCAACCAATTTAATTTTCTTAGCATGAATGAAAATGATCCTAATATCAAAAATGATAAATCAGAATTTGTGAAAAAAAGGTGTATTGAAGTGGACCAGCTAAATGAACTTTCGATAAATTACTTAATCGATGACAATATTAAAAATAATAAAAAAGAATGTTTAGTTGAATCATTTAATTACTATCTGAAAAAAGACCTAAATCAACTATCACTATGTAACAACCTAGAAAATTTAGACGATCATTTGCAGAAAAATTTTGATATCGAGATTCATCCACTTTGTAATAATCTAGAAATAGATCATTATCAACAGAAAAATTTAGCAAATCTATTTAATCATCTTTGGTATTTTATTAAGGAATTCATAAAAGATCATGATATTACTCATCTGAAAAAATTGAGAACGAATGCAATTAATCTCGGATTATTCTATATTCATCAAAGAAATGTAATGATTGGTAATGAGATCTTTAGAAAAGTTATTAATAAGAAAAAGAATTGGAATAAATTAAATGAACATTGGATACAAATTTTTGTATTTTTTATAAAAAAAACATTGAGTATATAGGTTTTGCTTCAAAATTATTATAAATCATATTATATTTATCTTTAAGAAACATTTCATCTCCCAACCCCAAAAATTATTTGTTATGAAAATAGATAGCTAAATAATTGGCTTAAATCGTTTTTTTTTTTAGCTTGAGGGACATGCACTTATCTTCTACCATCTGCTCATTCTCCAAGAGCACCGAATATTTGTGATCTAATGGAAAGTCAACTGAACTATCGTTTATTTCAGTGCAGATGTTTTGCAAGAAACACGATCGATAAGTAATTTTTTTTTAAGCCTTTACTTATTTGGAAATTTATAAGTAACGTTCTTTTCTTTAGGAATGTTGTTCGCATGGGGTATTGCTATAAAATGATTAATGAGTCATTTATAGCAAAATCCCGAATATTATCAAAGAATGGTTTAAACGACGAAGCTCCAATCGATTTTTCAGTTTATATTCTTTGGCTCAAGATGACAGGAGCTGATGGTTTTTGATAAGTTCATGAAATTTTTTCGTTAGTCAGGATTGCTTGTGAAATTTTCCATAGCAATTCTCTCTTGAGTTATTCAACATTGACTAGTTTTAAGCCAATTTTTATTATTTATTTATTACTCGAATTAAATCATTCATCTCTTATAAATTTTTATTTGAAAGAAATTTTCTTCATTTATTTATTGCACAATTCCATTCCAAAAATTTTTAATTAAATTATGTATTAATATTTATAATAAAAATGATTAAACAATAAAATTACAGATTCCATTTTCTAGTAGTTTTAGTGAACAATGGCGAAATGCTGCTTTCATTTTCATAGGCAAACGAGAATCTGTTTTAGTTTAAAATTTATTATTAGAATACTTGCATCATAATTATTAAACCATCAAAAAAATTAATTATTAGGAATAAATGGTCAAAATTAACTGAAGAATAGAAAATAGAAAAAATTAAATGTCCAATTTGTTCGACCAAAACATGGATTAAACGTCATTTTAAGCAACAACAATGTCCAAAGTCTAAAGAACAGATTTGGAATAATTGGTGATTGGATATTGATAAATTAGGAACAAATATTTTTACTCTATCCTGCTAGTACTAGTTATATTAACTGTATATAAGTTTTAAATACTAAAAAAACAAAATAAAAAAAGATTATATGTAATCTTTAAACTTACAATTTTGAGTATACTGTATACTACAAACTTTGGGTTAAGTAATAGTTTGATAATATGTATAAGTTATTGTTTCATTAATTTTATGTCACGTCTTTAATAAAAGGTTGTGATAACTAAAAATAAGATAGAATTATTTTATTACTTTTCAACTTGTAATAAATAAGGAATAAGTTCGTTAATAATTTATTCGCATATTGGATTTTTAATCAAGCTTGGATTTATTAGTAATAAATATCAATTTACGTGTTATCTATCTATTTCTAAAATGTGACAAATTCTTTTTTATGCATTGTACAGCATTATAAGAACTTCTTTTTTGATATATTTTTATTTGTTATTCAATATCGATATTGTTGATAATTTTTTTAAATTTTATTATTCAAACTCAGTTTATTTCTGATGGCCTCTAGTTGCCATCAGAGAACAAACTGAAACTTTATATATGTTGTAAGTGGAAATGGAATTTCCTAGTTAGAGTATATATATGGGCTAGGTGCAATAGAAAAGGAGGAAATCAACAAAATTTCAAAAATTTTTTTTTTACACAATTCAATTCAGAATAAGATTATAATTATTTTTCACTTAAAACTCAAAAGCAGTTGTATTAATAAAAATTTATAATATAGCTCTTTAAAGTTTGTATTTTCTTATGACTTATTATAATATTTATAACATAAAAATTGATCTTCTGAAGATCTTTTGTTTTGTTGATTTCCCCTTTTCTATTGCACCTAGCCCATATGATAAAATCAACCACAAAATAGTTTTTTTGAATTTCCTAGTTAAATTAGGGTTAGGTTAGGTGTATATATGATAAAATCAACCCCAAATGGTTTTTTTATATAAATTCTGAATTCACTTAAATTCTGTTTCCACTTACAACATATATAAAAGGTAGTTTCATAGGGTTTATGAATTTGGGCAAAATTAAGGCTTAATTTGGGTGGATCTCAATAACTGAGTCATGATTTAATGGATATGATTTTAAAGATTGCCTTTAAGAACAAAATTCAAATCAGATACTAAAATTCTAGCTATATCAATTAATAGTTATGATTTTCTCAATTAAATATTGAAATATCAAATTTCAATTTATGTATGTTTAATGTTTAATCGTTATTAAACTTTAATTCTTTAATAATAAACGTCACTAGAAGCAATTTTTCCGCTATCTTTAATGACAAAAAAATTTAAATCATATGTATTTACAATTTTGATGACGAATATACTGTATAATACGTGGTCATATGATTCTGCAGTCCCATGGGTCCGCAGAATCATGTGATCATTTAGATTTTAAATAACGACATTAACATTAAGAAAAATACTCGAAAATTCTCTGCTTGCATTAGAAAGTAAAATGTAATTTCTCAAAAAGATAAGAGTTAAATTTGACCAATAGAAAATTTTCACCAATAAGGTAATTTACGTTGTTTTGATTCTCTTCAATTTGACCAATAGGAAAAATTGTTATAGATGTGTTCCAAAACTTTAACCTGAATTTATAACAAATATAGTTTTCAATAAATTATATATATTTGTAGTTCAAATTTCTACATAATGGCATTTTATTTTTAGTAAAGCAAAAAAGATACTCCTCAAATAAAAAACAGTCAAGTCAATAATATCAAAAAAAAAGACAAAGAAAAATTAGCTAACACAGTTCTTTATTGCATTTTAGAAGTGAGGTGGAGGCTGGCCAAATAACATGCTGAAGATATTTAAATGCCTGAATGGATCCTTCTCAAAAAAGAACTGTCATCAATTAATTTGATAAATGAAGAGTGAAAAGAAGTAAAAAATTGGGATGATGAAGAGAGCAATCTGGTTTTTAAGTCATGGCATATATTTCCCTTTGATTCCTTTATTAATTTTAAAATTAAAGATCAAATACATGTTCTAAGACAAACTTAAAACTTAAAAATACTTACTTTTTAAAGAATTCCAATTCTGTATTCAAATTGTCGCAAGTTTTTTTTCAGTTGATTTAATTCAAGTTGAAGTTTTTCCAATCCTTTTTCTCTTTGTACTATGTATGAAGCAGCTATTATTTAGCTTAGTATATCTGTTATTGCATAGTTACAATATTAAAAAGCGATTCACCTTTTTTCAATAATTTTGCATTACCCTTTTTAGAGTAAGTGACTGGGAGTTGTTCTTTAAGCATAATAAAACCTTGAGCAATTGTTTCACGTCTTTTTTTCTCTTCTCCTACTTTAATATTT